GACAGGAAGTGCTGTGGGGTTCATCCTCTGGGGATCATCACGCATTTCCTCTGGTTAGCGGCAGCTGGGCTATCAGCTGGTCCCGTACCAGGTCCCGTGTGTGCCAGACTTCGCCGGCCCCCGGTTACCCACCTGAACCAAAGTGGGGGCACCTTTGGCAGTCCGGCCCCCAGGCCCGGCCCACCCGGCTGCAGCAGCAGATCTGCTTGGTGATGCTCCGGAGGATGGGCAGCGAGCACGAGGTCGGACCGCGGCCCGAACCCAGGACCCGGTGACACTGACCCTTCTCCTCCGAGATCACACTCTGGGCTGAGGAGGAGGACGGGGAGCGTTAGAACCAGAGGATGCTTCATGCTCGCAACACACACGTGACATCACAACCCCCCCCCACCTCAAAGACACCTCCCCATGGAGACATCCCCTTAAATTCCTCCCCCATCACCCCGTGTGACTCCCCCGTCACCACTGTGGACTCGTTTCCTGGGCTCCATCATCACCCAGGACCTCAGGTGGGAGCTGAGCATCAGCTCCATCACCAAGAAGGCTCAGCAGAGGTTGTTCTTCCTGAGGCAGCTGAAGAAATTCAACCTGCCAAAGACGATGATGGTCCACTTCTACACGGCCATCATGGAGTCCATCCTCTGCTCCTCCATCAGCGTCTGGTACGCTGCAGCCACAGCCAAGGACAAGGGCAGGCTGCAGCGTGTCCTCCGCTCTGCAGAGAGGCTGATCGGCTGCAATCTGCCGTCCCTGCAGGACTTGTTCGCTTCCAGGTCTCTGAAGCAGCTAAAAAGATGGTAGCCGACCCCTCTCACCCCGACAAAACCTGTTTGTGCCCCTTCCATCTGGCAGGAGGCTGAAGTCCATCAGGACTAAGACCTCCCGCCACACCAACAGTTTCTTGCCGTCGGCAGTCGGGCTCATCAACAGAGCCGGTCCCCCACTGCCTGACTATAACACTCCACCGGTCACTCCCCCTCATACTGCACACGTCACTTTAACTGTCATTTCTCACTCGTCACTTGTTGCTAGTGCACTTTATTTTTTTATATTTTTTAACTTTTTAAATATTTTGAATTTTTAACTTTAACTTTATTCCCTTGTTTTTTACTAACCCATAGCCTTATTCTACTAACCCATCGCATTAGCATTTTACTTTATTTTATCACTTGTGCACTGCTGTCTTGTTGTCTATTGTCACACTGTCTACTGTCGCGCACCAACCGCCAAGACAAATTCCTTGTATGTTTGACATATTTTGGCAATAAATGTTTCCTGATTCCTGACAACATTTCTGAATATTTTATCATATTTACAACTTATTTTCTATCTATATATTTTCTTTCTTATCTTAAGTTTCCTCCACTCCAATTTGGACAAGGATCAAAAGTACTTGTAAGGATTTACTCCAAGTAGTACTCAAAACACTTTGTTGTCATAATGTCAGTCGCGTCAAATCACAGCACAATATTATTTATGCAACAACATGTCGTCTGCAACAGACTTTATTTTGACAGTTTCCTCTCTGACCTCATGATGTCACAGAAAGCAAAGTAAACCTAGGAGATGAATGAGGACACACAGACCCACACAGACACCATGGAGAGCGTCTGCAGCCAGTTTGGAAGCAACAGAGAGACGAGACACATCGTAACATTGAAAAGAAACGCTTCAGATTTCATCGGTTACCGGCATCCTCCTCCTCCTCCTCCTCCTCCTCCTCCTCCTCCTCTTCCTCTTCCTCTTCCTCCTCCTCCTCCTCCTCCTCCTCTGAATGCCAGTTGGAATAAGCAGAGCTCTGGTCGGACTTCACAGAAACCCGCCAGTGTTCCATCCCTGATCTCTGCTGACCAAAGAGCCTTCTAACCTTCACAATAAGAGCCCATTGACCTTCAGACTAAGAGCCCATTGACCTCTGCCGGGACACTGACACCCTCTGACCTTCACATTAAGAAGTCTGTTGACCTTCTAATAACAACTCAAAGTTTAGTGTAAAAATACTTGAATTGAGGCGGGTGTTAGAGGGGAAGTGCGTTTGTTATGCGCAGGTTAAAAATGTAACGTAAGTCGCTTTGGATAAACGCGTCGGCTAAATGACCTGTGAAGACCTGTCAAAACACAAGGAGGTTTTCTGGACAATAAATGATTTATTCGCACAAGGAGGTGCAGGGTTGAGTCTGGTGGGCGAGCCAGCAGGCAGGTTGAGATCCCGGAACACTGAAACTATCCAGCTATGAATGGCAGGAAGACCAGGTTACTACAGCGCCGTCCCCCTGATGGCTGACTGACATCAGCTGTTCCAGCCACCACCCATCTGACACGTCAACAAGATGTTGCTGTATTGCATTAGTGGATTTACTCGTTGTAGTTGTGACTCCATCTCTGATATTTGGTTCCTGTTCTCTGAGTTGTCAAAGCAAAACAACCACTTCCTGTTGCTGCCTCTCCAGTAAAGGTCTTACAAAACGGGATCGTTTCTATACTGACTATAAGCACCTCTGCTTTATCAATATTTGATTTAATATAATGTATTCTGCTTCATGAAATAATTGGCCAATAACGCTTCAATCATTCAGTCATAATACGATTTAGTTTAAGTTCTCTATTTGTTGTTTCACACTCAAATACTTCATTACCTTATTAAGATTTACACATGTGAGAGATTATAAAGCCGATTACAGGAGGTCAGATTCTTTCAGGGAAAAGGTCCAGAATTTAAAGACGGAGCTCAGAAGGTTTCAGGAAGATCTGACTGGAGTCTGCCTCATTCCAGTGTGTGTGTGTGTGTGTGTGTGTGTGTGTGTGTGAGTGTGTGTTACTCACAGATGCAGATTCCATGTGAGGCGTCGAGGATGAACCCCGCCCTACACACACAGCTATAGCGCCCCCTGGTGTTCACACAGATCCCGTTCTCACACAACCCCGGCTGGAGGCACTCATTCACATCTACACAACGCACACACATTAATGTCTGCACACACACACGCGCTCTGCATTGGATGTCAAACGTCACTTTTTCAAAATAAACGTATAATATATATAATATAATATAATAAAATAATATAGAAAACTTTTTCTGTATTTTTTCAACATATGAATGAGAACAAACTGCCGGACGGAGACTCTGATTGTGAAAGTATGTAAACACGTCTTTATTTATTTATTTCAAACTGATTTATTTCTTTCTGAAAACACCCATTTGAGATATTTTGCTTCATGCAGAACATCCAAAAGTAAACGTGTAGTTAGTGTGTGTGTGTGTGTGTGTGTGTGTAACTCACTCACCTACACACTGCATTCCATTGTCTCGCTCAAAACCAGCCGGGCAGCTGCTGTTGCTTTTACCTGATGACGGAGATCAATAACTGATTATTGGAACAAAAGAATCGGACTACACAGAAGACACACACACACACACGTTAGACACAGTGTGTGTGTGTGTGTGTGTGTGTGTGTGTGGTGGAGGGGGGGGTTCTTCTTTCTGAATTCCTTCACTATTACTCAGTACTACAAAAAAATTGTACGTACTTTTTACTGTACTACATCTGTTCTACACACTCGGTAGTACCTGTAGTATCAGGACAGAGTACACACTCAGTAGTACCTGTAGTATCAGGGCAGAGTACACACTCGGTAGTACCTGTAGTATCAGGGCAGAGTACACACTCGGTAGTACCTGTAGTATCAGGACAGAGTACATACTCGGTAGTACCTGTAGTATCAGGACAGAGTACACACTCGGTAGTACCTGTAGTATCAGGGCAGAGTACACACTCAGTAGTACCTGTAGTATCAGGGCAGAGTACACACTCGGTAGTACCTGTAGTATCAGGGCAGAGTACACACTCGGTAGTACCTGTAGTATCAGGACAGAGTACACACTCGGTAGTACCTGTAGTATCAGGACAGAGTACACACTCGGTAGTACCTGTAGTATCAGGGCAGAGTACACACTCGGTAGTACCTGTAGTATCAGGGCAGAGTACACACTCGGTAGTACCTGTAGTATCAGGGCAGAGTACACACTCGGTAGTACCTGTAGTATCAGGGCAGAGTACACACTCGGTAGTACCTGTAGTATCAGGGCAGAGTACACACTCGGTAGTACCTGTAGTATCAGGGCAGAGTACACACTCGGTAGTACCTGTAGTATCAGGACAGAGTACACACTCGGTAGTACCTGTAGTATCAGGGCAGAGTACACACTCGGTAGTACCTGTAGTATCAGGGCAGAGTACACACTCGGTAGTACCTGTAGTATCAGGGCAGAGTACACACTCGGTAGTACCCCAGGCCTTGCCGATGCCTTGGCAGCAGATGTCCCTGCTCCGCAGACCGGGCAGAGGAGAGCTGCACTACACACACAGACACACACATGAACATACTGTTACACACTGAGACGGGAGGCTGACGTGAGAGTTACACAATCACAGGAATATAAGTACATGATTTTGTACTAGTTTTTTAGCAGCTCACCTGCCCGTCTTTCACCTCTCTGAAGCAGTACTTGAAGCCGGCCTGCTGGCTGATCGGGCCGGCCCCCCTCACCGTCTGGGCCTGGACCCCCGCCGGGGCCGGGGCGCCCGCCGACCCGGAGGAGGAGGAGGACAGCATCCGCAGGGCGGGGCTGGACCGGGACACCTGGGTGGAGGTGAAGAAGCAGACGGCTCAGCGTCTGGAGGAACTCCAGGAGGAAACATCGCTGGGGGGTCTCATTACCGTCTGCACCTGGTGGATGCTCGTGCTGGTCTTGGGAGCGTGCTGGACTATGACCTTCACCATGGACGGGCCAGGAGCTGCACACAGACGAAAGTCTTCTTACCTTTCTCTGAGAATATTTCAGTGTTTACTCAAGAGGAAAATTGCAGCATGATTCAAAAAGTGTGAACAAAGTGAAAATGACGGAGCTGTGAGCTCTGAGATGTTATGAACCTAAACAAGACCATTGCTATGAAAGACTGACTGTTGCTATGGATAACAGACTGTTGCTATGAAAGACAGACTGTTGCTATGAAAGACTGACTGTTGCTATGAAAGACTGACTGTTGCTATGGATAACAGACTGTTGCTATGAAAGACAGACTGTTGCTATGAAAGACAGACTGTTGCTATGTATAACAGACTGTTGCTATGAAAGACTGACTGTTGCTATGGATAACAGACTGTTGCTATGGATAACAGACTGATGCTATGGATAACAGACTGTTGCTATGGATAACAGACTGTTGCTATGGATAACAGACTGTTGCTATGGATAACAGACTGATGCTATGGATAACAGACTGTTGCTATGGATAACAGACTGTTGCTATGAAAGACAGACTGTTGCTATGAAAGACTGACTGTTGCTATGGATAACAGACTGTTGCTATGAAAGACAGACTGTTGCTATGAAAGACAGACTGTTGCTATGAAAGACTGACTGTTGCTATGAAAGACTGACTGTTGCTATGGATAACAGACTGTTGCTATGAAAGACAGACTGTTGCTATGAAAGACTGACTGTTGCTATGAAAGACTGACTGTTGCTATGTATAACAGACTGTTGCTATGTATAACAGACTGTTGCTATGAATGACTGACTGTTGCTATGGATAACAGACTGTTGCTATGGATAACAGACTGTTGCTATGGATAACAGACTGTTGCTATGGATAACAGACTGTTGCTATGGATAACAGACTGATGCTATGGATAACAGACTGTTGCTATGGATAACAGACTGTTGCTATGAAAGACAGACTGTTGCTATGAAAGACTGACTGTTGCTATGAAAGACTGACTGTTGCTATGAAAGACTGACTGTTGCTATGAAAGACAGACTGTTGCTATGGATAACAGACTGTTGCTATGAAAGACTGACTGTTGCTATGAAAGACAGACTGTTGCTATGGATAACAGACTGTTGCTATGAAAGACTGACTGTTGCTATGAATGACAGGCTGTTGCTATGGATAACACGACTGTTGCTAGAAAAAACAGACTGTTGCTATGAACGACAGACTGTTGCTATGAACGACAGACTGTTGCTATGAATGACAGACTGGTGATATGAAAGACAGACTGTTGCTATGAAAGACAGACTGTTGCTATGAAATAACAGACTGTTGCTATGAAAGACAGACTGTTGCTATGAATCACAGACTGTTGCCTATGGACTAACAGACTGTTGCTATGTATAACAGACTGTTGCTATGGAACAACAGACTGTTGCTATGGATAACAGACTGTTGCTATGAAAGACTGACTGTTGCTATGGATAACAGACTGTTGCTATGAAAGACAGACTGTTGCTATGAAAGACAGACTGTTGCTATGAAAGACTGACTGTTGCTATGAAAGACTGACTGTTGCTATGGATAACAGACTGTTGCTATGAAAGACAGACTGTTGCTATGAAAGACTGACTGTTGCTATGAAAGACTGACTGTTGCTATGAATGACAGACTGTTGCTATGAAAGACAGACTGTTGCTATGGATAACAGACTGTTGCTATGGATAACAGACTGTTGCTATGTATAACAGACTGTTGCTATGGATAACAGACTGTTGCTATGGATAACAGACTGTTGCTATGGATAACAGACTGTTGCTATGGATAACAGACTGTTGCTATGGATAACAGACTGTTGCTATGAATAACAGACTGTTGCTATGAATAACAGACTGTTGCTATGGATGACAGACTGTTGCTATGGATAACAGACTGTTGCTATGAATAACAGACTGTTGCTATGGATAACAGACTGTTGCTATGAATGACAGACTGTTGCTATGGATAACAGACTGTTGCTATGAAAGACAGACTGTTGCTATGAAAGACAGACTGTTGCTATGAAAGACTGACTGTTGCTATGAAAGACTGACTGTTGCTATGAAAGACAGACTGTTGCTATGGATAACAGACTGTTGCTATGAAAGACAGACTGTTGCTATGAAAGACAGACTGTTGCTATGGATAACAGACTGTTGCTATGAAAGACTGACTGTTGCTATGGATAACAGACTGTTGGTATG